ATATATGTATGCAACTGAGTTATTTGGTCCAAGGTAACCTTGCCACAATCGTAACTAAAAAAGAAAAAAAAATGTAATTATTTATTACTTAATTTTAAGTATAAAAGCTTTCTTTCACAATTTTGTACATAAGAATGCTTTGTCGAGTTGCAATGTGTATCATTGCTGTTGTTTGATGAATTGATGTTTACCTAAATAAGACAGTGGCATCTTAGTGTTTTTGTACTCCATAAAATTAAAAATTTTGCTAAGTCCTTCCATTGAAGTGTCGTTACATTTTTAATGTTAGGCTAGATGTTCAATTAATTTTTTTTAAATTACAACGATTACTTTCGAACTTTTAAGATATAGAAACTAACTTAAATTTTTCTAAAATGTATACACAATCACAGAATAATTTAACCACAACTAGCAATCCCGGACAATGTGGTAATTGTTGTAGAACAATTCCATCATGGTGCAGGTTCAAATGTTAGTACTTACGAGAATCAGAATAATTTAACCACAAAAAATAGGAAAAGGTCTAAAATCCCCTGCTATAGTTTCACTTAATTATTATCACTAATTCTCAATGTTTTTTTTTATTACTTGACTCCACTGTGATTTTTTCAATCCAATCCACCTCTTAACACCATGCATTAAAAATTAAGTTTGGTTGTCCATTTTGCCCTTTAAAAAATACGCTTTAGTAGTTTAAACTGAATTATGTACTAATATCATTATAATTACTTTTATTTTACTTTATCATTATTATTTGGTTATATCTATTGAATTTACTAAGTTAAATATTAGCAAATCAGTCATTCGTAACAGTACACTTATTAGTCTTATATATTCAATAGCTTTATTGGACTAAAAGTTTCTATTGTATAAGATTGGGTTAATTAACTCAAAAAAAAAAATCTATTATTTAGACTCTAATTATAAAATATTACATTAATATAAGAGCTTAAAATTCTAATGTTACTTTAGATAATTTTATCTAATTTTCACCACAATATACACAAAGGGGGCGTTTGGTTGAGGAGAAATTTTTTGAATACTAAAAAAATGTAATTGATAGGAAAATGGTTGGAAAGTGAGTTTGGTAGGAAAATGTAAAAAATGTTGTTTGGTTGGAAAAAAATTTACTAGGAAAATTGAGAGAAATTCTTGAATGTGTGTTTGGTTGAAGATAAAATATTGATGGGAAAACTTAATCAAATTACAAAATTATCCTTTTAAAAATAACCATGTAGGACCAATTGTAAGGGATAATTGTGTTACTTTATAAACCACTTTATTTTATTTTTTTTGTAAATATAAACCACTTTATTAACTTCTCCGATTTTTCACACAAATACCACCTTCAAACTTGCTTTCTGGAACAGTGGTTTTTTGCTTTTTAACATGCAAATTCAAAAGCTGGGCAACTGATACTGATGGGTAAATTTAATAAGATTAGCGAACCAAACGTGGACAACTTATTATGTAGGAATCAGTTTGATGGGAAACAAACCAAAACTCTTGAAACAAACACCCCCCAAAAAGTATGTGAGGTCATATTTTCACATGGGTACACATGTACCCCACACACTTTTTTGTGTATATTTTGTTAAACATTAGATAAAATTATCTAAAATAATTTTAAAAACTTTAAACCCTTAATATAATTTATTAATAAATTAATTAATTGAAACATGATATACATATGTTTCATTACAATTTAGAATTGTAACGCTATTTAATTTTCAGTGATATTGATATTTGCAAAAAGTTTGTCAAATTAATGCTTTTAGTAGCACGTACACTTATAGGTACATGACTACCTTAAGATTGGTCTGTATCTTATAATTGAACTAAGGAGGAAAAAATGGTAAAGAAAAAGAGACAAATGATGGAGGGTGGAAGGTATATATGTATTCGTCTTTCCTCCTCAACTATATATATATATTTGTCCTTAAAATTGTGATAATTAATCTATCACTAAATATCTGAACATATTTATATGACGGGATCATATTAAAATTAGACATAAAGAATTTATCGTCACCATTTCTTTACGAATATATAGGAGACTGATAAGTTATTTAGGCTAAGTTGTTATATGGGCAAGGTTAGTCTCATGTTGCTCGAACAAGAAATTTTCCCCAGCTAACCCATCAAAATTTGTGAGGAATTTTTTTTAAAACAAAAAAACAATGTTGGGTCCCATAATTATTGTCTCTACAACATAAAATATCAATTTTCTTGTAACATGATACTTGTTTTTTCATTATTATATAGTCCTAAAAATCATAGACTCAAGTAGAGGTGGCAAAATGAGCTCAACCTAGTGGTCCAGCTCGCCCCGCCCTTTTTTTTTAACACCTAACCTAACCTAAGGAAAACGAATAACTTTGAATTAATTTGGGTGTTATTATATTATCAAGCACCTATCGTCATCACTTGTTGAAAGAATCTTGATGGGTTTGTGCTTTTTTGCTAAAGCTCATTTGGGCTAATAGTATAAGAAGAGCCCAAGAAACCTAGAGCCTAGAGATAGCTTAGGGCTGGAGTTTCTTGGCACCCATATATATACTACCACTTAAGTCATCAACCTCCATGTCATTGAACATAAAAGGTAAACTCAGATCTGAAAAGTGCTCACTCACTTCCCCTTTTCCCTCGAGAGATAGCTTGGAAGTTTTACCAGAACCTAGAGAGATATGTTCATGCTGTGACGCAAAAGAGATCGATTCGTGAGTTCGTGTTATGACACAGAGGACACTGATTCGTGGAGCATCATCTACATCAGCACTATAAGAGGTAATCAGAAAAACAATGATAATCTATTGCATCCTAAACCGTAATGGTATAAAAAGCTTCTACATATCCAGTTGCGCATTCAATTGATCTCAGAGTCGGATTACGTGTTTGGATGTGGATCTAGTTTTGATTTACAATTTTTATATAATTAGTTTTACTTCATGAAATTTGGCACCTAGGGTTCTATGTTTGTTGATATGTATTTCGCATGTGTATTCTTATAATTCTTTTCGTTAAAAATAATGCTTTATTTGGTTTTGGCTTTAATTCATGGTAGAAATTTCTTTGTATTTTCTTGGGTTGTAACAAGGAGGCTAATCCCATATGATTAGGTTTCCTCCTTGTTTTTTATTTCAATTTTTCTACATTTTTTTGTATTACAAATTGTAATAAAAAGAAGATCCAAAAGAAGTCGAATACAAGGACATTTGTCACTGTTCGGACGTGTTCGTGACTTTCTGGTGGCCGAATCTGAGAAACCAATCACATGGCGTGAAAGGGGACAGAAGCACGAGAAGAACGATGGCCGAAATGGCTGGAAAGGACACCGGATGCACCGCCACCCGTTGTTTGAAGTGGCTGCGAGTGGGCCTTACTCGCCGGTACAAATCTAGCGCGTAGATGATCAGTTTCAGGTGGTTTCAACGGTATTGTGTCTATCTCTTCACAGTGATCTTTCTCCTAGAGTTTCATGCTGAGATGAGTTCAAGTGACGATGTTGTGGACGTGATGGCTAGGGTTCTTGAAAGTTGGCTTACGGTTTCTTACCAAAGTTTGGTATTTTGGGCCTTGTGGACTAATGGTTACCATAAAGGGGCTTGAAACAGAACCTATGGACCAAAAGGAAGGAGCAGATGAGCTAAAAAGTTTCATTTTTTTTATTTTGTAATTTTTTTTAAGGAACCATGGATTAAAATATAATTTATAATTGTTTTATTTTTATGAATGAATGAATTATATGATGTAATAACATGTTTGATGTGATAACATGCCATATAAAATAGGTGGTGTCATATTGTTGCATAACTTATTAACTACATAAGCATAATAGTTATTATGTCTTCAGTGACTAGTATGATAGTTATTATAAGATTGTTTTGATTTTGATATTATCCTAAAAAAAATTAATTAATAATCATTATATTTTTTTTAATAAAAATCTAGATTAATAATTGATTTAATTAATTTTTGATAATAAAAATCGAGACAAATGATCCAGAAAATTTCCTAAGAGAATTGTTTATTTTGCGAGTAAATTGTGGGTATTCTAAAATTGGCATGTATAAACACAAGCTGCATACCACAATCATGTATCATGATAGTGCGAAGCACACTCTGCCTTTCATGACCATATTTTAGGAGCTTAATGATTTCAAAACTTCGATAAGCTAAGCGATGCATGTTTATCGAGGCGCTGCTTACATAGTTTTTGAAATCAAACAAAGGTTACTCTCAATTAAACAATTCTTAAAAATTAAAAATTTCTAAATTTTAAAATATTGAGTGGGTGAAGGTTTTAAATTAAGTAATTAATTTTAAAATCTGTGGGCTCTATTTATGGGTCTATTGGTAAAATGATCATGGTTGAAGCCCCATCGGATAACCGTGGTCGGATTTCACTAGATTAAACCTTAATAATTTCAAAAAAAATTGTACGACCCATTTTCAGCAATACTTGGATACTAAGGATAATTTTGAAATCAAACAATGGTTAATTACATTCAACTTTGAAAAGTTGTTAACCCTTCCATCGAGGCTCTGGCAATGGCACCGAATAACCAAATAACAATTTTGGTTTTTACAAGTGACTTGCCCATCGTAAGCCATTTAAAGAAAACTGAAGGAACGTTAACAATAAATGATAAGTAGTTATTAGAATCCACTTGCGATTAATATGTTTATTGCAATTCTTGTTTGTAAATTGTATGCTTTAAATGTTTTTCAGAAAATGTCATCTTTCAATCCTTTAGCTACTATCTTGAGTCAAAAAGCCTATGGATGGTACAAACTACAAAAAATGGAAAACCAATTTGGATATTGTTCTGCAATATGAAAAGCTCAACTTTGTCCTGACTACCCCTGAGGCAGCGCAATTTGCTGAAAATGTGTTTGAGGCAACAAAGACACGGTTTTCAAATTGGGAGAAGGTGAATGTTGCAGTTCGTCGCTACATTCTGGCCAGCCTCGCCAATCACTTGTAGGAGCAAGTGGGCATGATTGAGAGTGGAGAAGAAATGCTCAAGACTCTTGATGGCATGTTTGCTACTTCTAGAAGTTTTGCTAGGCTGAATACACTAACTATGGTCACCAAAATTGTGATGATTGGAGGAAGTGTGCGGGATCATTGTTTGACAATGATAGTAAACTTCAAACGAACGGATGGCCATGGGATTAAGTTTTCACATGAGGTAAAAGTTGAACTCTTTCTACAATCATTGCCTGAATACTTCAACCAATTCAAAATGAATTATAACCTGAACAAGATGAATCTGGATTTTACTCAACTGATGCACGAGTTTGAGAGTGCTGAACGGTCTTTGATCAAGAAGAGAAGTGCATTTTTTGCTGCTGAGAGTTCTATTAAACCTAAGGGGGAAGCCTAATGAAGGTAATAAGAATAAGAAGAAGAGATCAGATATTCCAGTAGAAAAACCAGATGCAAAGAAGCGTCTAAAAGGCAAGTGCTTCAAGTGCGGATAAAAGGGGCATTGGAAGAAAAAGTGCCCACGTGTAAACCGATCAGGTATGGGTAATTTACTTGTGATTGAGGCTTGCTTAATGGAGAATTACAATGATAAATGGATCATTGATTCATGAGACACTAACCATGTTTGTTACTCTTTTTAGTTGTTCAAACATAACTTTACTATCAGTCAAGGACGAAGAGTTTTGAATCTTGGAAATGGGGAGCTTGTGTCTGCACTAACATTAGGACAAGTTATTTTGTCATTTGATAATTGTAGAACTTTGGTTTTGGAAGACTGTTTATTTGTTCCAGATTTTAAAAGGAATTTAAATTTTGTTAGTTGTTTGGTTAAACATGATTTGACAGTTCAGTTTAATTCCTCAGTTTTAATAAGAAGTTCATCTTCTTTTATTTGTTCTAGTGAGTGGTTTAATGGTCTTTATTTCCTTAGTCTTACACCCCATGAAGTTAATCATGTTGAATTTGGAGATGATAAGCATATTCATTTACTTAAGAAAAGAAAGATTTTCAATGAAACTCATCTTTGGCATTTGTGATTGGGTTATATTAACTCTAACAGGATACAAGGTTTGGTCAATAGTGGGATTTTAAAATCCCTAGTTTTTGAACTGATACCATTATGTGAATCTTATTTAGAAGGTAAAATGACTAAGTGTTCTTTTAAGGCCAAAGGAAATCATGTCATACTTTAGCTGGAATTAGTACATACTGATGTATGTGGACCAATAAATGTCCAAGCTAGAGGCGGGTATGACTATTTCATCACATTTATTGCTGATTACTCAAGATTTGGACACGTGTACCTGCTATGTCACAAGCTGAAGCTTTTGGAAAATTCAAAGAGTTCAAGGCTTGGGCAGAAAAAGTATCTTGGTGTTCAAATCAAGACTCTTCAGTATGACTGAAGTGGTGAATACCTATATGGAAAGTTCAGGTCTTACCTGATCAAGGAGGGGATAGTTTTATAATTATCTTCTCCACGGACACCCTAGCAAAATGGAGTTGCTGAAAGGAGAAATCGAACTTTTTTAGAAATGGCAAGGTCTATGCTCAATTATTTGTCTCTGTCTGATTCATTCTGGGGATATACCATAGAAATTGCCATGTAATTATTAAACTTAGCTCCATCCAAATCTGTTTCAAAGACACCCATAGAATTATGGAAAGGGTGCAAGCCCACTTTGAACTATATTCGAATTTGGGGTGCTCTAGCACATATCTTACAATAGAAGCCAAATAAGATGGACTCACGTATAGAAGTGTGCATGTTTGTAGGATATCCTAAAAGAACCAGAGGTTATATGTTTTATAGTCCGAAAAATGAGAAATCCTAGTGAGTACTCACGTGACTTTCTTAGAGGAGGACTATATGACAAATTACAAACCAAGGAGTACAGTTATTCTTGATGAGCTTGTCTCAGATCAAGTTTTACCTCAACCTCAGGTGGTTCCAGCTCTTGTTCTTGGGGTTGTTCAAATAGGGTAATATATACCTGAAGGTGAACATACACAGGAACCAGATACAAAACCAGAAGTTCAGCATGATGATCAATAAGTGGAACCTCTAGAAATACAAATACCACTTGTGGAAGAACAAAATCAAGAAGTGGTTAACCCACCTAATGAGGGTCCTCAAGAAATTGTTGATCCACCAAACTTGGATCCTCCTATAGATGCATAATAACAAGTGCGGCAAAGTGGTAGTGGGAGATTGATTCGTAAAATCGCAAGATATCTCTTGTTGGGTGAATCATCTCAGGATGTCACCATTGAAAGAGATGATGATCCCACTAGTTACGACGAGGCACTAGAAGATGTTGATGCTCAGGAGTGGATCTAGGTCATGGAATATTAGGTTTGATCAACCCATTAAATGTTATGGTTATGAGAAAAGCTCTCATAAGCCATATGTGTATAAAAGGATCCAAGGGAAAGTGGTATCTTTTTTGTGCTTTATGTAGATGATATGCTCCTTATCGCAAATGATATGGAGGTATTGTTAGAAATAAAGACCTGGCTGAGTAAGCATTTTGATATAAAGGACCTGGGGGAAGCCAATTATATTCTTGATATTAAACTCTTACGAGACCATAAGAATAGGTTATTGGCACTATCTCAAGCCGTTTACATTGACGAGATCCTTGCCAGGTTCAGCATAGAGAATTCCAAGAGGGGAATTTTACCCTTCAGGCATGAGATTGATCTTTGTAATGAGCATTCGCCAAGACTCCTGAGTAGAGTAAATGCATGAATAGGATAACTTATGCTTCAACAGTAGGTAGTCTCATGTATGTCATGTTGTGTACCAGACCAGATATCTGCTATGTAGTGAGAGTAGTAAGCTGGTGCCAATCTGATTCCGGAGAGGAACACTGGATAGAAGTTAAGTATATACACCTATCTTCAGATAACGAGAGATTATATGTTGGTCTATTCTAGTGGGAGTCTTAAAACCATTGGTTACAAAGACTCAGATTTCCAAGGAGACATTGACTCAAGAGAATCAACTTCAGGCTATGTGTTCACTCTTAAAGCGGGGCCATTTGTTGGAGGAGTGTCAAACAATCATGTGTGGCTATCTCTACCACAAAGGCTGAGTATGTAGCTATATCTGAAGCTGCAAAAGAAGCCACATGGTTGAAGAAGTTCCTTATGAATCTTCAGGTGACACCAGGTGCTAGTCATCTCATCACACTTTATTGTGACAGCAATGGGGTAGTAGCACAATCCAAGGAACCGAGGTGTTACCAAAGACAAAAACACATAGAGAGGAAGTACCACTTAATCCGAGACATCATTGAAAGAGGAGACACAGTGGTAATCAAGATAAAATGGGAGGAAAACCTTGCTGACCATTTTACCAAGAGTTTGCCTGAACATGTGTTCGAGAGGCATGTTACATCTATATGACTTAAGAGGATTCCAGACTTGTTGTAGCTAGGAGATTGGAATTTTACTTTGTTAATTTTATGCTCTTTGAGCAAGACATTATGACATTGTAATTTTTTCTGAAAGTTATAAATGAGGTATTATTCGTTTATTTTGCACACTATTTACAAACATCAAGGTCCGAATCAATATGTAGTATATGATCATATGGATACGTTCATGGAGGATATTATCATAGGTTCTCACAATTGATGAATAGATTCACAGTTGTTAAATAAAGTTGGGCACTTTATTTACGCTACAATATTTTATGAAATAGTTTTATCCGAATCATTTTAAAATATTGATGTGAATTAATATTCACATTGAAAGGATTAAGGAAAGATTTGATTAAGGTTATTTTTCTGTCATAAATTATCAAATCTCCAAATAACTATAGTTATGTGATTGCTCTTAATCCTGAGTTTATTTTAAATAAGTAATCAAATATTTTTCATTCTTTGATTTATCAAAGAGTGAGGTTCGATCTATTGACGGCCAATAACTCAGTATTTTGGGAGTGAGATTATTTGATTATCAGTATTTATGAGATAAATAACTTGGAATTTGTAGGATATATTCCCTTGATATGTTTTAGTACTTGGATATTGAAGATATTGGTCAGTGTATGTAATCCATTAAGAAACTAACAGAGTCAAGGGAATAAATAATGATTGAGTAACAAAAAACTAATAAATCAATTATTGACATTCTACAAAGGGGCGATGAATATTCATGTCATAAAGATGGTATTAATCTTGGAGTTCAAGTTCAGGCTTTTAGTGGAGTAGAACCGAAGTAGATAATCAAGTTGATTATCAGGAGCCTTGATTAATAACAGATGGTAGATCCTCAGGCTAGCTTGAAACACGGGATGAGTGGTTTTCAGTTAATGATGACTTATGGATTACATGGTCTTGGATTTTGGATTCAAGTTTGTACCCCAAAAGAGCAAGTGAGAGATTGTTGGGTTTGTGCTCTTTTACTAAAGCTCAATTGAGCTAAGAGTATGGGAAGAACCCAATAAGTCTAGAGTCCAGAGAGAGCTTAGAGTTAGATTTTTTGGGACCCATATATATACTACCACTCAAGTCATCAGCTTCTAGGTCATTGAACAGAAGAGGTAAGCTCAGATCTGAAGAGTGCTCACACACTTCCCCTTTCCCTCGAGAGATAGCTTGGAAGGTTTACCAGAACCTAGAAAGATCTATTCGGGTTGTGATGCAGAAGACATCTATTCGTGAGTTCGTGTTGTGACACAGAGAATACCGATTCGTGGAGCATCATCTATGATTTGCGCTATAAGAGGTAATCAGAACAACAACGATGATCTATTGCATCCCAAACCATTATAGTATAAAACGCTTCCCAGATCCAATTGTGCGTTCAAATCCATCACCTTTATGTGGGAAACAGGAAACATTTCGATGTCGTAAAGTAAATGATCAGGCCTTGAAGATAGCAACTTGAATTTTTTGGATCTATGTTAATGACCCCATGGTTAAACCACGACCGAGAAATCAAGGAGATTGATATTCACGTCTGCACAAACGCTAACCGGAGCTAATAGTTTTATCCTCAGAAGCACCAACACGCTTTCTTTTAAAAAATTTGCGTGTCGGACACGTGTCGCACTCCGACACGCTATGACACGTTCCGACACGCGTCTGACACACGGTCAGTATTTTTGGACATGCGGTCAACGCTCCGACACGTGTTTTCGACATGCGATCAACGTTTTTTCGACACGTTTTTTTTAGGTCTAAATTTTATTTTATTAACTAAAAATGACAAGTTATTTTATAAGTCAATTTTTTTCTATTACAGAATTTGACATAAAAATTTAACAAGATATGAAAAATTACTTTTGCTTTATATTTATGTTATTGAATTTGAATATTTGATTGGTTATATGACTTATTATGGACTGTTATATGTATTAAATATAAATTATGCTATATATTAAAA